CTTTTGGTGATGGATGGGATTCTGGGGCACTGACCTTTACAGGCTTGAGCCATGAGCAAGGGCATGGGGTGCCCTGGAGCTGACGGGGTTCGTTTGTGCAAGCTCAATAGAGACAAGGACAACACGGGCCTGGAATCGACTTGGCTGCTTGGCGAGAGAGGCGACAAGAGTTCTTCGTGATGACTGACAGCGGTGGCCAAGTCCAGAGGGAGGAAGGGCACTGGATAAACGGTTGGAGGTCACTGTGGAAAGGCCGGCTTCTAGAAAAATTCCAACATGCGTGGCTTTTGGCCAGTGCAGCTGGGTCCATAAGTTATGCACGCCTGCATGAGCGGCTTCAACAGCTGTGATGATCCCAAATAATACCTCACATGAGGGAAGTTGACAGAAACAGCAAGGGTTCAGTCCCGCTCTAACCGAGCTCGCTAGCATCGTGGTATTTGTGTCAAGCATCTCTGATGCTCGCTCTTTTTGTACGCTAAAACTGGGCGAGGCTCGGTCCCGTCGTCGTTGGGACAGGGCTTGCTCTGGTGGTGAAAATGGCTAGCCTGCCGTTTTGGATGGAGATCCATTCAGTAGCTGATGAAGAAAGTTCAGCGGTTCAATCAAGTCTTCTCCAATAACCCTCGCCCGCGTTAACCCGCAGGTTGGATCCAAGACGCTAATAGCGGCGCCTCATCTTATGCGTGGAAGATGGACGTGTAAACTGAATCTCCTCGGTGTCCTTCTTTAGACGAACACGGAGAAGACCAGAGGCAGGCCTAGGGCAGCCAAGCCGATCCAGCCCAGGCGAGGCCCTGCAGAGGCTCGCCCATGTCGTTTCGTGAACGAGGCCGTATCTCGCACCGTACGCATTCACTGTCGAGCTGCCAAGGCTAGCACAGGCTCAACAGCTGCCGATAAGGCGATTGGACATGGCAGCCACTCAACAGTGACAATTGGCGCCTGGTGAGCGAGCAGTGGATGGGGCGCTCATGTGTACCCTTATTCTTGAACCTGGAACTGTTCCATCATAACAGGCCATAGTTTCTCAAAGTCATGACTACTTAGTCAAAGGCGAGGCGCACCGTAGTAAAGTTTGTCACGATACGTCTGATTACTTGTCATAAAATGACGACTATCATGACCACCCATCGAAACACGGCGATCCCGTTTCGGTCCTGCCTGAGACCCCTACGTTCAATTAACCTCATGCTTTCTCGTGTCCGGGTCAAACAAGACTTGGAACAACGACTGATAGGCTGGCCGAATAAGAATTTTGCAGAGGGAATCTAGACTGAGAAGATGCAGAGTAACCGACCAGCATAGTCGTCATCGGACGGGATCTGTGAAGCTATCCCATCTCAGATTGTCAGACCAGTACCCAGTCAGGTCAGTCCCGAGGTAGATCGCGTGGGGCCAGTCTCAAATATGCTGCAATTAGAGTAGCGGATCGATCAATGTATGCACTTTAGTGTGCGTTTGCTGCGTAAACTGGATGGCTTTTAATGTCACCTCTTGAACACGACTTGTTTTTTACGTCTACCAGCTTCAAGGTGGAAATTAGGAAATTGAACGACACTCTTTGCGCGCAAATAACAACATCCCCATAGGAAGGCGCATTATTTGCACAAGATGGGAAAAGGTATGAAGATCTATGCAATGCTATTATGCATGCGCGATGTGTCAATGGCTGCGGTACGATTGTGAAATCATCACTGAGTCATTGCAATTGCACAACATTGCACATCAGGACCATGACTCCCGTCGCGTTCCAGGGGCCATGAGGGTGACATTTCTCGTTGATACATACTGTACTCCGTAATAAGGGTCTCGATTAGCAGCTCAAGGCGAAGCAAGGCTGATGGATTGACATAAACGGCAACCCGTTCTCTCCGTTCCTCATGAAGCGGAGCCTATCATGACTTCTCCTGTCTTCTCCAGTGTCTCGAGTCGCGATTTCGCTGACCGCCGGGGATGGGCAAGTCAGTGTCGTCATTATTCTTGACAGGCAGCGATACGCAGTGGGAAAAACGAAAAAGAGCACATGGGCATGGGGGAGGGGGGTCCTCCCATGGAGGAAAATCCCTCAGCGGAAACGGGGAGCTTGACGCCAGGTACAAGCTCGGCCAGCAATGACATACAGGAGAGGTACCGGGGCCCCAGTATGGAGAGCGCGCTACAGAACACCAGAGGGCTTTGTATTCAGTAGGTCCAGACGCTGGCAGGCAGACATTTACAGTTGTACATGGCTTGATGCTATCTTGAGGCAAAATCTAGCATTAGTGAGGCAATACGTCGATACAATCGAGGACCGGGCTTTGAGCCATCCCACATGTACAACGGGGCTCTCGAAGGATGGAAGCCAACGGGATCCGGGAGATGCACAGTGTCTTACTGTATCTCGAGCCAAAAGTCCATGGGAGTTGTATGGCCGTGGAGATGCTTTGGTGATAGTTCGGAGAGTATTACAGTAGGTACGTAGGCAGATACAAACAGGGCGATAAGCAAGCTTGGATACGAAAGTAAGATTACTCGCTCAGCTGTGGGTTTTGTGAGTGTCTTGTTTTTCGTAAAGCTAAATCGGTAAAACTATACTTGCGCGCTATCACAGCGTGTACAATCCCGCGGACATTCCCCCAGCCCATGTAAAATAAACCCAGCCCAGACAGGCAGGCGGGCTATTGTTTTGATTTGTTTGTATTGAACCTCTTCACAACTCATCGCTTTGTCAAGATTGAGGCAAATCACTCATTGTGACATGGATGATGAATGACCGATTGTTAGTGCCATCATATTGGGGTCGTCATTGTCGTTGTCATTGTCACGCTCATTCAGTCAGTCATCCATTGTAAGCCATCAATCAGCTATCAGCCACGGGCAGTTAGACATATGAGACGTCCAATAGCTATCGCTTATCAGATACGTGCTCTCAATTGAGTTTTGTTTTGTCTCCTGTTTACGCTGAGCACTCTCCCTCCCCCTTGTGCTTTATCGGCAGGGCAATCTGATAGCATGAGTCTCAATCTGAGTCTAGTCTTGCTGCATATGAAATGTGAACTGGTCTTTAGTCCCTCTCAATCTCTTTTTTCCCACTGCGTTTGCTGTGCTTTCTCCTTTGCACCCACTGCTGAGATTACCGTCTTGTTTCCATTCCCCACGCCGAGCGCCGCCACACACTGTGCTCTGCACCTGCATAGAAGGCAGAACTTGGCTGGGCCGAGGACCAGAGGCTGCCTTGAGTGGACAAGGGTAAGGGCAATTTAAATGGGGCATCATAAAATGGGCCGTGTAAGTCTGCAAGATGCAGCGACCGATGTTTCATAGAGTTACACCCTAGCACGGGCTTGATTAGCTCAATTGACACGCCCTGTAGAAAACAAAAAAAAAAGTTGCAGGCATAGCTCCAAGGGAAACCATTTTGGTGAGAGGTGAGAGAACCCAGCTCCTAACAAGAGAGCAGTAAGAAAAATTGAGCCAGCCGACGCTACCGGGTACGGCAAGGGTAGCTCCTACACTGGCGTGCTGGCTAACACACTCTGTCTCTAGTTTCCAGGTGGATGTTGATGCTACTGCGCTGTTTACTGCATTAGAATGAGATTGACTGAGATGGGGGTTTGTTGATCTCAAATGTTGTTGTCTGGTGTTGTTATAGCTACCTGATCTGATTGAGTTTCTTGCTATCATCTCATACTTTTTGTTGAATGAATGCTTAATGCGCTTCAGCACGGAATAAAACCTACAGTCAATACGCGCATAACTATTTTAAAAGAAATTTGCATAGCACTACATCATCAAGCTTTAGAGTACGAATTCAAAGCAAGCACATCGCACTTTACTTTTCCCCAGGCCAATGACACGAGAAGGCTAGGGTAAGTGAGGGTGTAGCTAAACCGCAAGAGGGTGTGATGAAGTTTCTTTCCTCCGTGACCGTGGATGTGATTGTGTCTCTACGTACTAGGTAGCTACTAAGTTGTCGTTCGCTAATCCCGACTCGTGCGGGCTTTAACGGCAACGGAAGCAAAAGGAAGGGAAAAAGCTGAGCGAATATGGAAGAATGGCAATGGCAATGGACTAGAGTCTGATTGTGGTCTGCATAATGGCGGCAGAAGTAGAGCGATTGATGAGTGAATGGTCAATCCAGTTGAAATGGATGGATTGGACTGGGTCGGCAGGGCCGTGAGAGGTCGGATCAATTCGTACAGTAGAGGAAAGAGAGGCTCCTTGTTGCTAGCTCGTACCTCGAAGAGCTTCCGGTCGTACCTGGAGACGGCATGGAGCACATAACCTGGGGCATATTGGGATTCGCGAGAGACCATGCCAGGAACCTGCGCGAGACTCGTGGGAACTGACTGATGGGGCTCCATCCTAATCCACCCGTCCCGGCTTGGGAAGAGGAAGAGACCCATAGAATTCTTTTGTGCTGTGGAGCCCTGCGTCGCCGTGGGACCCGTTTGATGAGACCCCGGTCCTCTGTGTTATTCTTTTGTGTCTTGTCTACTTGTGATGGGGGGGCCACAGAAAGTCTGTGAGCAGCGAGTAAGATGGCGACATGCATCAAGTGAGAGACAATCAGTCTTGGAGAAATATGCAGGCATTGAGGTGTGGTACCCACTTCATAACCGGGTCTCCATCATTTTGATCAGGGCCGAAAGTCTGTGGGCAGGGGCCATGCAGCGCATGCACGAGCGTGGGCCGGCAAGCTCGCCGGGAAAGAACCTAGCCCAAGCTTTCTCACGCATCTCACTTTGCAATTCAAAAAGAAGCTCTCGCCCGACTCAAACTTTCTCTTCTTTTCCTCTCCTCTTCACCCACGAATGCTTCATTCATAAGCGACCCTAACTTCGTGCGGTGCTTAGACACTTTCTTCCCTTTTCCCTCTCCACTGTACCTTGTTCCTCTGTTTCTCTCACAACAACAGAAGCGGCATCAACCTATTATTTCACTATATCTGCTGCCCACCTACAGCCGCACTCTACACAACCTAAGAATCGACATTCTCTTTTCCATCATCTCCAACGATGGCTGAAGAGAAGGCGGCCGGCGCTCCTGCGCTGGACACCAACATCGAGACTGGCGGCTTCGACGAGAAGCGAGGACAAGCTGCTCCCCCCACCCACGCCCCCAAGGCTCCTGTCGCCGAAGATGAGGAGCCCGACGAGGACATGGACGCCCTGATCGAGGATCTCGAGTCCGAAGATGGCCACGCCTTCGACGATGAAGAAGAGACTCAGCCCGGAGGTGGCCGTGTTGTTCCTGAAGATCAGCTCCAAACCGACTCCCGAGTCGGTTTGACCGAGGCCGAAGTTCTCAACCGACGACGCAAATGGGGTCTCAACCAGATGAAAGAAGAGCGTGAGAACATGATTCTCAAGTTCCTGATGTTCTTTGTCGGCCCAATTCAGTTCGTGATGGTTCGTAAACCGTACCCTGAGCATTTCCCGTCTTTTCCCAGTCTTTCTATCGTTTTCCGCTCTTTCCCTGCTTTTCCTCCAGGTTTTCCCCACTTTTCGTCCTTAATTAGCAGTTCTGTACCCTGGTATACCCTCAATTGCACTCCCCTGATTCCCCTGCGCACTTTGAACCAACTTTGAGCAAAATTCGACGCTCGTAGCACGTTCTACGTCGTTTTCCCTGAGAGTTGTTCGGTGAAGCCGGTCGCGACACTAGCAATGGTGTTGTGTCTAGCTGAGCTTAGTGTGGTGGTCAATGCGCGGTATTTCCTAGTTAGGAAATACCTAGTTCCAACGAAAATTGGCTATAACTCCATCATTTCTCAAACAAAATTCACGATTTCTTTTGCTAACGACTTGTAGGAAGCTGCTGCTGTTCTCGCTGCTGGTTTGGAGGACTGGATTGACTTTGGCGTCATCTGCGCGCTGCTCCTGCTCAACGCCTGTGTCGGTTTTATTCAAGAGTTTCAGGCGTAAGTTTCGCAATCTAATTCCTATTCCAAGGGTTCATTTAGAACGTTACTAACACACCATTATAGAGGTTCGATCGTTGAAGAACTAAAGTTTGTTACCCTTCCCAAGCCTGGAGATCGTATGAATCTCTAGACTAGCTCTTTCCTGGCCCTGCTTCTCGAGCCTCACAAGAGCCTCTAGAAGCAACACGCCGAATGCTTATCGTAGAGCACCAGAATCTGACTGTTTAACAGGAAAACACTTGCTCTCAAGGCTGTCGTCCTACGTGACGGTACTCTCAAGGAAGTTGAGGCCCCCGAGGTCGTGCCCGGTGATATTCTCCAGGTTGAAGAGGGAACCATCATCCCTGCTGATGGTCGTTTCGTTACCGAGGGCTGCTTCGTCCAGGTTGATCAGTCTGCCATCACTGGCGAGTCTCTCGCTGTCGACAAGCACGCTGGTGATAACTGCTATGCTTCCTCCGCTGTCAAGCGAGGTGAGGCTTTCGTCATCGTTACCGCCACTGGTGACAACACTTTCGTTGGCCGAGCTGCTGCCCTTGTCTCTCAGTCCGCTGGAGGCACTGGTCACTTCACAGAGGTTCTCAACGGCATCGGTACTATCCTTCTCGTATTGTTTGTTAACCCTGGTGTCCCAAATGTTTGCAAACTGAGCTAACATCGGCAGGGTCGTCGCTACGCTCCTTGTAGTTTGGGTGTCTTCCTTCTACCGATCGAATGGAATGTGAGGATGATATACACCCTCTTGATGGCTATTATACTAATTTAAATCCCTTTTTAGTGTCGATATCCTACGTTTCACTCTCGCAATTACCATTGTCGGTGTCCCTGTCGGTCTTCCTGCTGTCGTCACAACCACTATGGCTGTCGGAGCTGCCTACCTCGCCAAGAAGCAGGCCATTGTCCAGAAGCTGTCCGCTATTGAGTCTCTGGCCGGTGTCGAGATTCTCTGCTCTGACAAGACTGGTACCCTGACCAAGAACAAGCTCTCTCTCGCTGAGCCCTTCTGTGTTGCTGGCGTTGAGCCCGATGATCTCATGCTTACTGCTTGTTTGGCCGCTTCCCGCAAGAAGAAGGGTATTGACGCCATTGACAAGGCTTTCCTCAAGGCTCTCAAGTACTACCCCCGTGCCAAGAGCGTTCTGTCCAAGTACAAGGTTCTTGACTTCCATCCCTTTGATCCCGTCTCCAAGAAGGTTCAGGCTGTTGTTGAGTCTCCTCAGGGCGAGCGCATCATCTGTGTCAAGGGAGCTCCTCTCTTTGTCCTGAAGACTGTCGAAGAGGACCACCCTATCCCTGAGGAAATTGATGCTGCGTACAAGAACACTGTTGCCGAATTCGCTACCCGTGGTTTCCGATCTCTCGGTGTTGCTCGCAAGCGAGGTGAGGGTGCTTGGGAGATTCTCGGAATTATGCCTTGCTCTGACCCTCCCCGTCACGATACTGCCCGCACCATCAACGAGGCCAAGCGCCTTGGTCTCTCCATCAAGATGCTTACTGGTGATGCCGTCGGTATTGCTCGTGAGACTTCTCGTCAGCTCGGTCTCGGTACCAATGTTTACAACGCTGAGCGTCTTGGCCTTGGCGGTGGTGGTGACATGCCTGGTTCTGAGGTCTACGATTTCGTCGAGGCTGCCGATGGTTTCGCTGAGGTTTTCCCCCAGCACAAGTACAACGTCGTCGAGATTCTCCAGCAGCGTGGTTACCTTGTTGCCATGACTGGTGATGGTGTCAACGATGCTCCCTCTCTGAAGAAGGCTGATACCGGTATTGCTGTTGAGGGTGCTTCCGATGCTGCCCGCTCTGCTTCCGACATTGTTTTCCTTGCTCCAGGTCTTGGTGCTATCATTGATGCTTTGAAAACTTGTAAGTTTCCAGTCTGCTGCCCTGTGTCGTTGGTTGAGGCTATTTCGCTCCACTTTTTTCGCGATGACCTCTACCACTACACAAAGGCCACCCCTTTATGATAAGACCTATGCTAACAGCCCTCTGGCACGCCAAATCTTCCATCGTATGTATGCTTACGTTGTGTATCGTATTGCTCTGTCTCTCCACATGGAGATCTTCCTTGGTCTCTGGATCGCCATCCTCAACAAGAGCTTGAACATTGAGCTTGTCGTTTTCATTGCTATCTTCGCCGATATTGCTACTCTTGCCATTGCTTACGACAACGCTCCTTTCTCCCAGACACCCGTCAAGTGGAACCTCCCCAAGCTCTGGGGTATGTCCGTCCTTCTCGGTGTTGTCCTGGCTGTTGGTACCTGGATTGCTCTTACTACCATGTACGCCAACTCTGAGGATGGTGGTATCGTCCAGAACTTCGGTAAGATCGACGAGGTTCTCTTCCTTGAGATCTCTCTCACTGAGAACTGGCTCATCTTCATCACCCGTGCCAACGGCCCCTTCTGGTCTTCCATCCCCTCTTGGCAGCTGTCTGGTGCCATTCTGATCGTCGATATCCTTGCCACCCTCTTCTGTATCTTCGGTTGGTTCGTTGGTGGCCAGACCAGCATCGTGGCCGTCGTCCGTATCTGGATTTTCTCTTTCGGTGTCTTCTGTGTCATGGGTGGTCTCTACTACTTCATGCAGGGCAGCACTGGATTTGACAACCTGATGCACGGCAAGTCCCCCAAGCAGAACCAGAAGCAGCGATCCCTTGAGGATTTCGGTAAGTTCCTAGCCACTGCCTTGACGTTGACCTTCAGTTCACTAACTCTATCACAGTTGTCTCTCTTCAGCGTGTCTCGACCCAGCACGAGAAGTCTCAGTAAACTAGATGGTATATACCCGGACCACCATCGCCCGGACTTTTCACTTTCGCTCTGTCCAAATTTGAACTGTATTACTCGCACCCGAGTATTAAGACTCCTGGAGTGGTTGAGGAAACTTTCATACCCCTAGAGAACGTCTACTAGACACCTAATAATACAAGTAAAATGAATAATTCGTCCTCTAAAACCTGAGTGATCCTTGTCTCAAATCTGTGTCCATCTGGTTTTGCTTTCTCTGTGCTCATTTGATGGTTGCTATTATCCTCAAGTCGGTAGTTTTGCTGATTTAGTGGTTACCATTAATTCCTCAACGTATACCTTAGTTGTGCTCATTTTCCTCAGCTGCAGCATGGCCTTTCAATGGCCAGCCCACCATCCATGATTGGCCTCTCCTCCAGCCTCTCGCCTAAGCACCATCCACTCAGTGTGACATCAGTTGCAACCTGAAGCCCCCTCCATATCTCAACAGCTCACATTTGCCGCTTCGCAAATTCTGACAACTGCATTACTCCGCCTTTCCCGTCCAAAGCCGTTGTGGAAGCTATCGAGTGTCATAAGGACGATCATGAACCGCGAAATCCCTGGCTATTACTATGGTACAGAATTCTGGCAAACACTGAACTTTGTACTTACTTGCATTTCTGGCAGACAATGAGAAAAAAAAGTATTTCAAGATCGAAAGGACGCATACGGCGCCCTCGTCAGCTGCCTGGTCGTCGGATGCCGTGAAAAGGCGCAAAGTCGAGCACGAGGCTCAAAAACTCGCTGAACGCCAAGCGCACCAAATAAAGAAACACATCAAGCGCCATTTCGTTGCTAGACATACAGTCACGTCCGCACTTCTAACGAGGGAGATTGGACTTCCCTATGTCGCCGAGAGAGGCCGCAGTAGAGTAGAGGATGAAGACCTTGGTGCTGCAGCGTGGGCAAGAGGTTCAGTGGCCAAAGGTAACGTCCCTTTTGCACCAAGCTTTGCAAGAGAGCGACGTGCAAATATGCCGTGCTTTTATGTCTCTGGGGACGATGAGAAGACCGGTCTAGGGGCTTCCTATGCCAGTAAGTCCTCGGGCCGCAGCGCTGCAACGCATGACTTCAGCATGATATCTGACTTGCCTTCCAGCTTTGGATGAGGAGACTTTGGTGGGAAGCTATATCCCTACAGATGAGAATGACGAGTTTGTCCTCGAGGCTGGAAGATACTTTAATCTACTGACATAGTGCAGAATTCATTTCTCACGGGAAGCACCCAGTTCTTCTGGCAGAACCCTATCATTCCGTACAGAGGCGGTACGATGTCCACAGATGTCATCAATCAAGTATCATCAGCCTTCACATACAATACTCTTGACTTCGCGCGAACCTGACAACACCTGCGGAATATACTTCTTCTCTCCACGACTGTCAAATCATAGGGACCCCGATCGCCCACAATGGCTGCTTGGCGAATGTAACTATTCTTTCTGCTTGGCCATGTATTGAACCCTGCTGACTTGAAAACAGCAATTCTCTATCAGAGAGTCGCTGTCCCTCATGAGGGACGTGGTGAATGGATGGTTCACAATAGCACGCCAGCACCTTCATCTTCGGACCTTATTTGTGTTGCTAGCTCTAACAGAGGCCTCCTTAGAATGCATTCCGAGGGGAGCGTCTCGGTGGTTGCTCCAAGAGCCGCCCAAAACGGTACACAACTCCCACAAGAAACGTTTGCACAAGATTTCCAAGAGGGGAATCACAACGTTGTGTTCACTGGCGGGAGGCAACCCAGGCTTTGGATAACAGATCTTCGCGCCCCTGAACCGCAATGGTCGTTTGCGAATCATGCAAGCTCCATCTCCCATATCAAGAGTGTAAACCCACATCAGGTGCTGGCATCGGGATTGAAGAGCTCGATGGCCCTCTACGACGTACGCTATCTTACAAGTGACCCGCGTGGAACAAAGCCACTACTGTTTTTTAACGGACACCGCAACGAGGCTCATTTTCACATTGGTTGGGATGTCAGTCCGGAGCTGAACGTCGTTGCTGCGGCACAGGACAATGGGACTATAAAGCTCTTTTCATTGAAATCGGGCCATCAACTACGTTGTTCAGCTGTTGGGACTATTCACGTTGATTCGCCTGTCAAGGCGCTGATGTTCCAGAGGATGCCCAGGGAAAGAATGCCCAGTCTTTTTGTCGGGGAGGGGCCTTTACTAAGGAAGTTTTCTTTTGGAATACGGGACTGGGGTGATGAGGCGTGAAATTCGACGCAGGATAAAGGAGCTCTGCTGAAGATGCATAACAAAGGTGCAGATGAGGTTTGTTGTGAGGAAACGAAAGTCTTGGTGGAATATCTAAGGAAATCTAAACTCTATATTAACTTGACTAGGCATGAAGGAAAAAAACACGACACAAAGGGAAAGACATAAGAAAAGTGATATGAACCCAATGAAAAGACACCTTATGCCTAATCCTTTTCCAATCTCACAAAGAGACAAGATAAACCCCCTTCCACGATCCACAAATATCATGAAACATGCCTCTCAATCGCAACTCTCGCTGTCCTCGTCTGTCTCTGCATGCTCACTGGTCTCGTCATCCTCCTCGTCGACCTCATCCCCAGTCTTGCACCCCCGATGCCTAGATCGTCTCCAGCCGCCATCGCAGCCACGATCTAGATCATCTCCCATCTCCACACATCTTTTGCATGGCTTTCTTGAAGTAGAGGGAGGGTGGAAACAGACAATCTCATGACCTTCATCGTCCCTGGCGTCCTTGCAGTTGCTGCACTTACCAGGGCAACGCTTTTCGTGGCCTTTAATCATGCTTTTGATGTATTCTCTCCCACAAAAACGGCACGGAACCATGCATGCTAGTTTGTCTTTAACTTTGCAGGTGGTTTTCTTTGCTAGGCAGTTATTGCAACACCGTTTTCCCTTTTCACGCTTGCAGGGTATGTCATCTGCAACGCACTCTGTGCATCTCTTGCGGCACTGGCGTTTGTGCTGCTGATGAGTGTAATCGCACCAACATATCGGGCACGTCTTTTGCGGTTTCGGGTGGGTGAAGTCTTTGCAAGGCCCCTTTCCGAGACGACTGCACTCTTCGCAAGTCCTGGACAGCCGAGGCCGAACGCAGGGAATCCCTGCCTCAGAACAGACACCGCATTTGCCCTGACAATTTGGCCTGTGAGCTCTCATGTCGCGCACTGGAGCCTTACATTTCTTGCAAGTCCCTCTCTTGTCGTGCGAAAAGTTACCACAATCTTGATCTTCGGCGTTGCAGCCTTTGCATTTGTGGTTTCCTGCAAAGTTTCCTCGCGTGCAAGGCACCTTTCTTGCAATGCAGTTCTGGCATCGACCACGACACTCTCGGACGTGAGAATAGATGTTTTCCACAAACTGCAGGCACATATAACATTGCTCCGACCACTTTGGCTTTGCTCTGTATTCGTGCGATGGGTCTCTGCATTTTCCGGGTGTAGGACAAGTGACGCAAGTCTTCTTTCCCACCGGGCGCACGCAAGGACTATTGGAGTTGACGCACGCGAGGCAGCGCCCAACACACGACGATTCGTGTTCGGCGAGTCTGTGTATGAAAGCCCGGCATCTGCCACAGGTACCTGTATCCACATCATTAAGGCCAAAAGGGTCCCCTTCCTGTGGTTGCATGCCTTCGAAAGAGGATATACCTCTGAGCCTCTCCCAGTTTGGTCCCAGCAGAGCCTTGCGCCTGAACTCAGCATGTTCATCAGACTCATACAACTGGCTGCAGACTTCAGGACCATATAGACCCTTGAGATCGCTGGGAGCGAGCCCTTCTGCCACTATGGAGACCGAGACCCAGTCAATCGCAGCGGTTGCCAAGCAATAACTGGCTTCCTTACAGCTGTAGTACACCAGCGTTTGCAGTTGTGCTACCTGGATTGAAGCGGCAAAGAGGACCGCTAGTTTCAAGTCGTCGGGCTGAGTCAATGGGAAAATCAGGTCGGTTTCGGTAAACGTGGGTACGACGGGTGTGGCCCTGGCCTTCACAGGTGCCTTCGCATAGGCATCCAGAACGCTGTCTTCTTGTGAAGAGAATTCGGCAGTATCGGATTGTGCCCCGTAACTCTGGTCAGATTCCTGCTCAACATCGTTGTAAAGGTCGTCCTTATCGTCGTGACTGCTGCTCTTGGCTCGCAAGTCTATGTCGATATCGGACCCTTCAGAATAGTCAACCCTTCTCCGCTTGAGGCGGCTGCTCCGACAAAGGAAAGGTGGCGAGCGAGAACGAGCGCGGGAACGAGGCTGAGCCTGGGGCCCTTGACCCTCATCGTCTGCTAAATCGCCCTCCCCCATGGACTCGGAACAGCCCACGAAGCCAAGGCGACCACCGTGAAGCTGGCTCCTGGACCCCGTACCAGCAAAACCCCAGAAACCGTCGTTGCGAATGTCTTCTATTGCGGGAAACATCGAGAGAGATTGAATATCTGATGGGTCTGTGCCGAGGTGGACAAATCGCCCGAGTTGAGCAAGCAGCGTGAGCCCAAGGCGCTGCTGATCCAAGAACCAGCTGAACACCTTAGGCTCAAAGCCGGACACCCGGAGACGCATGATACAGAATATGGTATCAATGAGTTGTACCAGCCATGCCGGCACGTTTCTTATCACGTCGGATGGTCCGAGGATCGTCAAGCTCCGCGCATGAGAATGGGCACTATATCTCACGAGGAAGTTGATCCTGTCGTTGAATGGTGAAACGATGAACGTTTCCCGTCTTTTCCCAGGTGATGGATCTTGGAAGTAATTCATGATGTCTTCCAATATCTCCAGTTTGGAAACATCACACTCTGCTTCGAAGTATGACGTAATAAGGTCTCTTGGAACAATAGACTCATGGGAAGGGTCTATGAAGATACCATCGCGGGAGGGGGGCGTTTTTGGACATCTGTCAGAGAGAGGAAAGAGTGTCTAAGTTATTTTATTACCCTCAACACTCTGCTGCATAAGGCTGACATGATATTATCAGCCGAAAATAACCAGGACAGCTTTTTCTGTCCACTAACCGATGTCCAAAAACACCCCTCTCCCGCGATGGTAGTCTCAGCTGTTTTGCAGAACGCATCCACAGGGAAGCTGCTACCAGGCATGACGGAGAGAAGATCATCACTAGTCGATTCGGGAATAATGTCCTCATGGTAGAGAGACGCTGCCTCTTCGTTGCTTGCCAACGATTCCGAGGGCGGATTCCCGGCCATTGGTACGCCCTCGTCCTTGTCAAGAGAATCCGCAAAAGGGTGGTGAAATACAAAGGCAAGTATGAGTTTGATCCGAAGAGGACGTAAGAATAGTAAGTGAAATCAAATGGAATGAAATAACAGGAGTAATGAATGGATATGGATATCACAGATGTCCTAGGAGAGACGTTACTGTCCAGCAGTATCCGTCAGTATAGGTAAAAGTGGGCAATTAGTTCAGTTTACAGTCTTGGAGGTAACACGAGGGCCAATTCCTTATGGACAAATATGAGAGCATCGAAGTGCCTGGTCGCTCAGTCTTCTCACCCCCTTACCAGGGGCTACGCAACTAACAAGTCAACCCAAACAACTAATTATGAGAGTATCAAAGAAACTCACCAAGCAAAAGCGCATGTGAATAGAGCCAGTGGCAATACTTAATTTAGATCGTGGGCTTTGCAACGGGATCAAAGCGCGGTAAAGGCACTTCGTCAGTCACATAGCCCTGAGACTGAAGCTTTGGCGATATATTTACGAAGAGAACTTGGTGAGGCGCCAGGGATTAGGAACCATTATTCCATAATTTGTTTCACTGAGACGCCATTCACTGTATTTTCTTCTTTCGTCCAAGCCCGATGTGTCAACTTCCCTGTCTGTTAGCAACGCCACAACCATCAAAATAGCCCATGATAGAGAATGACTGCTCACAATATGGCACCCAACATGGACTGGTAATGGGAAAAGCGGGCACCTTCAGCCCATTTTCACAAATACCGATGTATCTGAGATAAATGCTAAAATGAAGGTGAGAGAAGGCGTGGCGGCTGAGTGACACTTGACAAGCTGATGGTTGACCCGTGTTCAAATTACTCTTCGACGAGGACGAACCACCAATAACAGATTCTCAGGACTGGGAAATTCTATTCTTGTGAGATCCTTCTGTTGGTCAGATAATCTATCTCAGCTTCAAAGCGTCGTGAGAATCGATGGCTTGTTGAAGTGATACATGGATTGACCACATGACCTTGTGTGAAGGCATTGTCTAAGGCTTCTCTGTTTGATCAGACAAGCCACGCTCACTAGTTTGCAACATGTTGTGTTCAATATAGCCATTCAGCTCTATTCAACAGCTCGCTTGTGCATGGTCAAACCTCGCAAAACGCCAATATTGGTCATGCTTTCTATATTAACATCACCGTAAGATAACTGAAGCCTAAACGACAGGGAAGGTCGCTTTAGCTCTGACTCACCGGTCGGTCCTGTTTGCAATTCCTTTATTGTAGCTCTGTTGTAACTTGGTAGGTCTTGTAGATAACTTGACCTATCACTATCTAATGCTGTGCCTTCTGAACTAAGAACGGAATCAAACAGGAACATAGGCTGCATAAGGAAGGGTGGCAGGTGGAGGACAAGAAAACTTTAGGACTTTTATCCTAAATTATCCTAAGTGATGAAAAGACTTAGGCAATTTAGTCTAAGCTTAGAAGACTCTTTACTAAATTCATTTTGGCATCCTCTCTGTTGCTTACCCCCGAAGGGGTAATAGTCACAAGCATCAAAAGTACAGCTACATAAAATGCCACAAAGGATTTCTCATTCAATGAACAAAAGGAGCCATATTAATATTGCCAGGTACTGCCAGGTACTGCCAGGTACTGCCAGGTACTGCCAGGTACTGCCAGGTACTGCCAACTGTTTACTCCTTGGCTTTCAGCTATCATTCCTAAAAATTCTCATCATGTATTATTCTCTTTTTCCCAGGCCATATTGCTTCCATCAATTCCCTACCACTTATTTCCACTAACCTCTGCACGAAACACGACGTCCATATCTAATCACCACTCTTGTGTATAACGCCATATATTGTGCTGTTGAAGAAACACTCTTGCGTTGCTTTAGCTGTACAGCCCCCGGCCTTACTCATCTCTTCATCTAATCCCTTGTTACCATCTACTACCCACTTCTCCATTTTGGTCAGGCTTTCGAGGCCAGGAACGACGAGCTTTCCCTAGGCGCCCATTTCTGGTAGTCGTGGCAGTCGCGCTCCCTACATACACGTATGTATTGGTTTCCATTGGGGCAAGCCCAATATATGTTGTCACGAACCTCTTCGTGCCACAGTCAGTTAGTCCTGAGAGGCCATCAAACTGGTCACAGGTCCATGTTTGTAGTCTAAGAATGCACTGGGCACTGAGAGAGACGACGCTCGGATGAGACAGGAGACTGACGAGCCTTTCTCGGCAGGCATCGCTTGAGTTTGCAAGGCAAAACATCATGAATACTCTCATGAGCATCGGGCACCGATAAAGATCCCTGATGGCGCTTATAAACTGAGAAAATCTGTCGACTATTTCTCGTAGCCTTTTTCGAAAAGTTTTAATGGCCTTTTGGATCTCTGGCCTCGAATTTGCAATTTGAACTGCGAAGTTTGGTTAGCCGATCTATACATATTGAAGTCAATATTATATGGCCTACCCGAAACGAGATTTCCCGGTAACCCAGACGTTATGTCCTTTTCATCTTCCTCCGTCAATGTAAGAGTTTTTCTCTCATGTGAAGATAGGGCTACTGATGCGATGGACTCTATGTCCTCAGTCGAGTTGAGGTCAATGTCTTTGAAAATCGAAAAGAAAAACATGCTCAAAGTCCGAGGGGCCGTCTGAGCCAATTTCGTTAAGTTACGCTTCGGTAATGGCATTCTCAGAGAGAAAATCTGCATCTGCCCCGGTGTACTCCGAGAAACAGTACACGCGGATACGAGCAGCAGTATCAAGTTGCAAGGGACCGTACGGGCAGCAACACTTTTCTAGTGGACCTTGTCGACCAGGCCGATTGCTCCTGACTTAGTGGTTTAGTTAACTGTAGGCCAAAGTCCTTGGGAAGAAGTATCTCGGCTACTGGTATGTGGTAAAAGAGCTCAGCATTATGACTTGACAGAGTGTGCTGGACCCTTTGAATCAATGCTCCTACCCAGGGTGTCGGAGAGCGCAAAGGACTGTCCTGTAAGTAGAACTGAACCCGAGATTTCTTTCCTCCGATCGTAGCGATGGCTAGCCATGGTGGGCAGTCAGGGCTTGGATCCGTAAAATACAGAATGATCGTTTTGCGATCATTTGGCTTAAAGTATTCTGCGATTTGTCGTAGGGCAGTTTGAGTATCGGGTCCTGTCAGGTATGTCTTGATGGCATCGTGAGGGAGAAACGACTCAAATACGGTATCGGTCTGCTGGAGATCTCTGCCTGCGACCTTGAGTAGAACTTCGGTAGTGATTTCGCTACCGGCATAATGGATGTGAGGGTATGCTTCGCCCGAGAATCCCATTCATCGAGATAAACATCTTTGGCTTCGGAAATTTCCCGTAGACGCGTATCTAAGTCTTCTGGATCGACCATATTGGCAGTATAGAAATATAATAGACTTAGTAGTAATACAAAGAAGAAGAGATAAGAAGTAAAAGAAAAGAGAAAAAGAAAGAAAGAAAAAGATAAAAGAAAAAGACTATCTATATAAAGAGGAGGAATATAAGTAGATATTTTAAGAATCTACAAAATGATATAACTGCTCGGCAGTGCCGTCAGTTGAGTTAAGAACTAATCCCTCTAACTAGCTCATAAAACAGCGCCATAATCACTAGAGTAATACCATCTAAGGTGCCTCTTATATATCGTTTCATATTTTCATATATGCATCTTGCCAGGAGGTGCCCGTTAAACACCAGTTCTGTTTGTCCAAGTCACGAGCCGTAGCGGTTTGTCAAGCTAATACGGTGTCTAATGACAACGCATCAGCTCTATGTACTTTACCTTGCCGTGATACGTTAAAATTATTAAGTTGCTCTTATTTGTCTTGAAGCAGACCGGATAGGTACCTTACCATAGCAGACAAGCGAGTCACAGTACAGTATGTAGCCGCCCATTCGCGGTCTTCCGCGAAACCGCTGGGCTTCATGTTGCAGTTGTATATGGAAGCATACTTCTTTGAAACTCCAGTATTGTTACATGTATGTTCCGCGTTGGACCAGCAAATAAGAATAACTCATTTGCTGTTATTATGTCATGTGTTGTCTAAGGGTAACCGCAGCATAGCAAGCAATAGCAAGGGAGATAATGGTAACTGAAAATAGTCGATTTAACACCCATTCTTTACAGCATGCTTCCTTCATTCGGCAAAATATGCAGCAGAAAGAGAGAGAATTAGCATCCAGATTTCCTCGAAGTTGTAGCAGCCTGATTACTGTCAAGCAGGCATGGCCTTATAGACTCTGCCGTTATAGTCACTCATATAACTATCAACTTCTTCCAGTATCTCCTATCCCAGCCATTACAGTAACTCGGGTTTGAATGTTGTTTTCCTCCTTGATACGATCTTATTCGCCCTATTGAGAAGCTAAGCTAACTCATGAAGAAGCACCCTGCTCTGACAGAGTACGAAGAGCCCGAGCTTGGCGAGTACAAACTCTAAGCCGTCATTATGTTTGACCCAAACGACATGGAATCCAGTTTTAGAGATATCAATAATGCGAGGAACCGGTACCTCAACAAAGTAGATCCAGATCAATCCAACAACATTTATGTCATGTATGGGAACCAGGTCAGTACGGATGTTCCTCTAGTCACAACCAGCGAGTTTCAGAATAGAGCCACAAAATCAGAGTTGCGGTTGCCACACAATATGGTTGCATCGTGCGAGCGTGCCCAGTTCGAAGCTGATTTCCGGAGAATTGCATCGTGGTTTAAGCCAGACGGCCATGAGACGCTCACAATCCATATCACAGGTCCGCTTTAAGACGCCCAAACTGGCTTGCCATAACGTCAATACTAGGAACCAGATGTGCGGTAAGCACTTGGGATGAATTGTATGTAGAGCCTATCAAAACTGTGCGAAGAGAGCAGTTCAGAGCCGCTGTCTTTCTCCGTTAGTGTAGGGTGAGGTTGGGAATCTTATTTCTAAGGTTAACCTAGAATTTGGGGCCATTGTGAGGAGGGTTTGATGAATTTAGACTAGATTTAGGCCAGCTTTGA